TGATCTCTGTTAGCACAAGAAACAACTCTGAGACATATTAACACAAAACACCCAACACTGATAATGTCAGCATTCACTGCTACATTAGTAAGGGCAAAGGACAAACATAACTAGTTCTAATGAGTTCTCTGTGTCATCCACCCATTCCTGGTGGGTTCTCCAACATCTTGTTCTTCTCTTCACACTGCACTTTGTGCTTAGCCCAACCTAGTTACACAAGAGCCCTGACACTATGGAAATCACTTCTAACATAATCACAGTTGCCCTGTCTTTGGTGGAGACAGGTCGTGGCAGCACAAAGACAGGCCAATGGCAGTGCAAAACCAAGGAACATGAATTAACACCCCACTTTTCACGGGGACATAAATCTGCAAGGATTTTCATTAGGAAAGCTGTCATAAACACCAGAACGCTTAATTTTCCTGGGGCCTCAACATTCACATTCTCTCCTGCAGTAATTCCTGTGAATTTACTTATGTATAAACACACTGTACACCTAAAAAGGGTTAAGTTTAGCTTCTACAAATTAGCTATGTATATAAATGAAAATAAACATCCTAATTCTACAAAGAGAACCATCAAGACACTTGGTTAGACACCAAAGCCTGTTCTCTCTGTCTACTGGTGCCCTTACCTGCAGTTCTTTATGGCTGTATTATCATCACCATCATCTCTTGACTTAGTATTCCAAACATACCAGCTGCCCACAACTGAAGGGCTTCTTTGCATTACCAATTATAATTACACTGAATGCACTACTGGTTCTGTGACATAAAAAGGAATTTAAAAAAAAAAACCTCATCAAGCTTATTTCAAGTTGAGAGAGTTGAACCCAGGTGAAAAACTAAGTCAGTAACCCACAGAACCCACTAATTAATTACCATATAGATGTATGTATCCAATCTAATGGAGATCAAAATTTAAAAAAAAAGAAAAGTAGCCCATTATTCACCACCAGTTTCAATTACAGGTGGGAGAATAATTCCACTTAACACATTCCCTGTGGCCTGGCCAACACCCAAGAGATGTTTTTTGGGAAGAAGCTTAGAAGTAAAATCTGGCTTGAAAACTGGAGCAAGGCACCTCTTTTGAAGTCTTGCCTCAAAAATCAAAACAAAAAGCCCCACCACCAACAAAGCAGTCCCCAAAATCCCAGCTCTCCCCTTTTGAAGATGACTATTTTCTATAGTAAGACATTGAGATCAACAGCTTTATCCATCCATTCCTTCAATAAAATGGACTAAATCAGCATTAATTTGTTAATCTTTGTATTACTTCATGCACTCATGCCATATGATGTCAAGCTAAATTTCAAACAAAATCCATTTAAGAAAATAGAAAAGAACATCTCTTACCTGTTACTTTTTCCTCAAAACTGTGGCCTCCCACTGCTGAAGATAATCTGTCAAGTTAGAGTCTTCTTTCTTCTTTCTTTTTGTTTAACCTCCCACTCTTCAACCATTTAATATTACCACATGGGAAAGAAAATGCAAGGAAAAACTTGACTAATGTGTCAATGGCTACATGCCACTTCTATTAGTCAGCTTCTGCATCAGCCTGGGTGGATAGTTCAAGTAACAACAGGGGAAACATCCTATTTTCTAACAAGAAAAGACACACTAAGAATATGCCAGAAAAAAATTACATTTTAAAATACAAAAAGAGCATAGGGTTCCAGCAGCACGCAAAAGACCAGAAAATACTACAGTTTTAAGTATACCATATATAAATTACTTTTCACATTCAGTCAATTTAGGTCAAAAAGCATTATGTGTTGATTTCTCCAACAAATTATAACTATATCCAACAACATGAACACCCACCTAAAAAAGAGAAAAAGACAGCAAGATATTGCTTTTGTAAGACAATGGCACAAGAACATACATTAGGCCTTGTTATCACATACTAAAGCTGGTGCACACTTGGGTTGCAATTGCAGTATACTTTCTAGAAGAGTATTGCACAACTGATTTACTTGTTAACCAAAACAGTGAATGAATGGTAGCTTTTCCTTGCATCCTTTCATTCATGTGGTACAGGTAACGCCCTTCAGGACTGTGCATGCTGTACTCTTGCTGGCTTGCACTTTTCCACTTCACACAAAAGGCACTGAATTTTGAATGTACTGAAAAGAAATTAATGGGAAAGTTCACAGTTCCTAAAGCATTTTAAGAGATCAGTGTTACTTCAGCAATACAATTTCCACAGCTTATTATATGTTAACAAGTTTCCATTTAAAAATGAGTCATCCCATCCCAATGGAGTAAGAAAACAGAACCTGTCAGATTCAGATTGTAGCAATTGCCCAAGTTTCATTTACCTCTGAAGCACTGAATTAAACTACCTTAAAATCAAGAAGAAATGGAAGTCCTTTCAGTTATTTAGTAGCTTTTGCCAAGCAAATTGTCAACCTAGCTCAAAGGACCTGTAATCCATTTTCTAGTTTTTTATTTATAATTTAGGCAAAAATCTGACTCATTTTTATAGGTGAAAACGTATGGTGGCGTTTTGAAAGTACTTCAACTTTGTGCTATAACAGAAGTTATTGTTCTAAGTGTGGAAGATCTCTATTTCCTCATAGTGAAACCATTAAACTAGACAACAAGCTTTACAGTACAGAAAAGCTGCAATAAAGGTTTGGAGGAACAGCTGTAAACTTTAAGGATTTAATATACATTCATGAGATATGAAGATCTGAATGGAGAACATTAAGCAGAACCATTCAAGTGTGGGACATCAGAGTTTGTTCATGCAGTCAAAGATATTAAATACCCAACTGCATGTCTTCATTTCATTGCCTCTTCTCAAAAGCAAAGAGTAAGCAAATCCTTTGCTTTTGTAACACAGTAGGTCCATGTGAGTTTACCTGGCATGTTCTCAGTGCACTTGTATATTAATCCTTTACTAATATGTCCCCACCTAATATGTGATACCACAAACAGTCAAGATAACATCAAGTGGGAGCTTGTCATCAATTATTAACATGGATCCAAATTTTTTGCCACTGTGTGGAAACTGTTATGGATTCACAAGTCATTCACATTCCTCCAAAGACACCAGCAAGGCAAGAAAACATTAACAGCTGTACAGGAATAGTACTTAGAAGTACAACTTAAGCACCTGTATGAAACAGGTAGGATGGTAAAAGCCAGACTAAACACCATAAAGAAAAATCACAACTTCTACTCCATCAGAAATTATTTGAGCCTTTAATGAATATTGTAAGCAAAGAAATTCAGGTCACCATGACTCTGCTCATATTTTTAAAAAAATCCTACCCCCACCACAAACTTTGACAAAGAGGCTCTAAGTAGTCAAAAAATAAAGGTGAGATTTTGTCAAGTAATTGAAAGGTGAGTATAAAATAGGAAAATAATAATAAAATCCACATCTATTGCCCCTTTACGGAGCATATAGTACTGAAGATTATTAATGCTTAAGCCAAGTCCAACAAATGAGATCAAAAGGGCAGGAAAAGGTGGCAAAATTTGTATCAACATATCTCAATAATGATGGGAACAACTGAAGAGCTATTAATGAGCCTGTTGAATGGAAAGCATGCTGCTAAAATACAGCATGGGAGAAACCAAGGTGAGACTTACTTGAAAAAAAAAGACAAGAAATTACTTGAGCTAGTAATTTACAGGTCATAAACTAACTAACTGCTTCCAAAACAAAGTACTTTACAATTTACACCTCAAGACACAGAAGTTGTTTACAGAGGAGGAGGTAACAAAAACAAGCAAAGAAAATTTGATAAATCCATTAAAATATAAAGCATATAGCAAAACCTTCATTCAGATGTCTATTTGATTTAGTTCTAAGCTACTAAGACTAGAATGGAGTTAGGAACTAAGAGAGCTTGTAAAAATGGACTCTAGAAAAAAGTGAAAAAAAGATTCCAAGAGGCATATGAAGGCTTCTGAAACAGGAAACATAGGGAATATTTCACAAAAAAATGAACACGGGCCATGAAACAGTAATTAGAGTAATCTGTTTACTGAAAAGGTAAACCATTCCCATATATAATTTCTGCAAATACTACCAAGAGACAATAAGACTGAAAAGCAATTCACTCAAACCTGAAAATGCTCATACAACATATAGCTGACGATCTTAATATTATTGCCATACCCGGTACATGCTTCGATTCACCTAAAGAAAAAACTAGGTATTAGAAGGCAAATCCCTACATTCTCTGCAGAATTCACTCATGAGGTTTAAGAGGCCCACTGTGGAGTCTTTCTGTAGGTAAGGTGTAAACAACTGGTAATCCTCACCAACTTCCTAAGGAAAACCTCTATCTTCTTAGAAGACAGTCGTGGGTAGGTGCTCTTCAGGATAATGCATGATCATTTTGGATTGCTCTGTATCACTGCTTTCTTTCTTTAAGCTTTACTAAGCACAAGTGTCACTGCCCAGTTATTAGTTAATGCACATACAGAAAAATACATTTTTTAGTTTCAGTACAAGCTGTCAATTCAGAAAATCTTACAGAAATAAGATTTCAAGAGTGGTGGAAAAATTGTATGTGCATAGAACTTCAGAAATTGTACTTGCCTCTTGGATCTGAGCAAGACTGCAGTTCGTTGGCAAAGGTGCCAGGGCAGTCTCCTGGCAGAGGCATGATTTACCCCAAAGCAAGTCAGACAGTGCTGGTATCTGCTTAACTTGCTCTAGTTATACACAGAGGTAGTTGGACTACTACTGGCTGAAACACAGAATAGGTAAGAAATGTGTTTTAATAGCAAAGAGGTACCAGGAAATAGGTCCATCTTGCAGATTTCATTAAAGCTATGAATGGACTTAATTATCACAGAAACATAAAAACACAGAGCTCATTAGACACTGCCTCATATCAAAACTGTCCTCTGCAGTCACAGATGATTTCTTTTTAGGCCACACAAATTCCAAGACAAACAAATTCATTATTTACTCTATTTCACCTTGCTAAAATAACACCAGGACTACCACCCAAGGATAAATCCAGTACTCCATCATGACGTAATACCTTTTTTATTACAATATCCAAAAAACTGAGTATGCAAGATTTTGAGATCTCATGATCTGTTCTTCAATCTCAGGAATGTGCCATCTAAAGACTGTATATTTAAACCATAAAGGAGTTTAAATGTAAAGAAAAGAGAAAAATGCATTTTCTTCATAAACATTCTGTGTGTCTCTTCCTACCAACCACGCCATCCTCTGTAGAACCCGAAGATTTCTTTCTGTAAAGCAAATATATATATAGTGTTGGTAGCCCGCCCCACCCTGTCCCAAGATCAGTTTTTATTAATCTTCTGTATTAGTGTCAACAATCAGCTACAGATACATATTACTTTGAGAATTAAATACATAATCGTTTAATTCAAACAAGCAGAAGGGCAAGAGGAAAAAGCATTATGTGGATGGCACATTTGGTTGTAGATTACCGAAACATTCAGCCTTTACAATTCAATTATTCTTTCTCTAGTAATCAACTTTCAAATAAAATTTCTCTTTGTTGCAATTACAGACCAAAATACACTAGTTTTCTTTTACTACAATCTTACCATAGTAGTTTAAGAAGTACTATTACAAAATGCTTTTAATTAGTGTACTCTTTACGAAGAGTCAGAGAGGCAATGTAACAGCAGAGTACAGTGTAAAGAGTGCTTCTAGGAACTAGGAGGTTTTGTATTATCCTACTCGGTAAGCGATATAGCTACAGAACTCACAGCCACAACTGTTATGTCTACTCTCTCTCACTTAAGCAGCTGCAGCTTCAGTGCATTCAAACTGTGCCCGATGTCTCTGAAGGGAGAGTTCTGCCTGCATGAGCAGTCTGAACAGATTAACACTGGTTTGAATTGAAAACGCCCCTCCTTGATCTGAGCTAACTATGTAAACGTACACAGGAGAGGGGCGTTTTGAACTCTGCTGGGAAGGTGAGTGCTCGCCATGGCCACCCAAGGGAAACTCTCAACCTGAAGAGAGGTGGTCAGAGGTTAACAAAACTGGAACACAAAGAGAGGCAAACAAAAAAAAAAAGGACAAACAGCAACTGACAGAGCAAACACTTTAGAAAGAGCCTATTCCTTAAGCCTGCTTCAGATATTGCTCTGCTCTATAAAAGTGAATTTAGGACCTAAGGCTTGTAAGTTATAAGAGGCCCAGGTGGCCAAGTCCATCTTCAACGTCACTGAAGTGCTTTCACAAGATATAGCTTTTCCCCGTGTTCACTGGTGAAGATGGGAGCCTTTTTGTAGTGTTCCACCAACTCATCCATAGTATTAAATCGCCGCTGCCCAATACAATAGACATTGTCCACGAGCTGCACCTTGAAATGTTTGTTCTTCCCCGATGCCTTTAGAGATACTGAGAAGTCACTGGGCTGTTGAGAAGAATTGAGAAAGAAAGAAAAAATTACATAGAAGAGAACAAAATGACAGCATAATTTTGCAATTTCAGGAACAAACTGTGTCATATAGTTGACAGTAATTTACATTAGCCACAGCTCGGTGCTTTAGCTCCTTAAGAAACCCAATAGCCTATTATTCAATAAATAATTACCATTGTTATTAACGTGAGCAGTTAAGTCAGTTAAGTGAAAGCTCCCCAGATGCACAGTTTGAAGCTGCCAATTACATGACTAAACTGCAAATATTATCTTAGTTACTCAATATAGAAGCCCAAGAATGTCAAGGAGAAGGGAAGAATTTTTATCATGCATGTCTTTCTCACTAGAGTGCCCAGGAGAAAACAATTACTGCAATATTGCTTGGGCGAGATGAAGAAAATCCCCCATTTCGCTTTTTTTAAAGCCGTGACCACTAGAGGGCCATTCTTGCTTTGCATTGCAAAAGACAAAAACACATGCACCTTTTATCTTCATTACCACATGTATGGGGAATAATTTCTCTCACTGAGTACATTTTCTTTGTAAAAAAAGATAAAGCTATAGAAGAAAAACACTATACAAATCTCACCATCACACCACTACCCACAAAAGACAGAATTTATGCACTAATTAAGTTACTCAGGCCATAACAATTTCTGATGATAAATCTCTTCATCCTGGCAATCAGTTGCTTTAACAAGGCGAGCGCTGTCATCCAAACAGCCAGAATGAGACCATTCCACTTCCTTCACTACATGCCACATAGGAGGGTAGAAAGGACACAGTGTCCCTTGCTTCCAGCTGAACTCTGTCTCCAGCCACCTACTGCTGCTGGCTAGCCACAGAGATGGTGTAGGAGCCTGGGCAATAAGGATTTAATGTGCTGCTATCTATGCCTCAAATACCAATGACCATTCAAGCAGGCAAGTTAGAAAAGGATGTGCCTGGAAAGGGGGGGATGTGCACAGGTAGGGCAGCACCCTTCTGGGGACAATTATCCTGTTCTGGTCCATGGAGACCACACAACACAAAACAATGCAGCATGGGAATGGGGTCAAGGAACAGGCAAGTCCAGCAGAGGGGGATCAAGACTACGAAAAGACCCTCAAAGCTCCCCCCATTTCCATAAAGGTCCAGAAGAGTTGCCATGCTGATTCACTTACACGAAGAGCAAGAAACCTAATTCCAGGGAGGGGAAAACTTACCTATAACTAGGTAGCCCCACAAAGCCTTGGTCATGTGCTGCCCAGGCCCTGGATACCCTGTTGGCTGGATTGATCCTGGATCCAGGACTGCAGATCTCCTTTCCTCTGCAGTCTGATCTCCCTTTCACTTTCCCTTTCTTCCCTCTTTTCTTTTATTATCACTCTTACTATTAGAGAATAGGGGTAAAACATGAATTTCTATGCCGACTGTGTAGTTTGCTAATAAAACTTCATGAGCTTCTTTAGAGCCCTCGTGGTTTTTGTCATTCTTTGATGAATCTTGGGTGCTCCCTTCCATGTAGGAGGGGGATATGACAGATGGGAGCACGGGTTTGCCCTGTGAGAGGTGTACGGAAGTAGGTGTCACCAGCCGGCAGTAAAATGAATAAAAAGAACACACTGGAGTTTGTAACAACCACTTAATGGAGTTCAGTAATGCCTGCTGCTACTCTGGAGGTACTGCTGCAGTGTCTCAGCCCACTGAAGGCATGGCTTCAAGCACAAACCACTGAAGGCACGTGCCAGGATTTGACCCAACCTTACTGTGTCCCTTGGTCTCTCCCCACCAAGGCACTGCTTTGGCTGGGCCAGCACTGCAAACCTGTGCTTGCCCAGGTTAAACAAAACCCACCTGGTTCACAGCACTGCCTTGGGAACAATCCTGAGCACAGCCATGGCACAGCAGAGGACCAACTGGAGGGGTCAGGAGCTCTCACATGTTACTGCTGACACTAGACATCACAAAACCACACCCTGAGACCTCTACACTGCATTTGTGAGGGGTCAAACACACACTGAACACGTACCCAAATAAGCTGGAGGACAGCATTTTCTCAGATATGCTGTCTTTATTCCTGCAATAAAATGGGTCTCTGCCCACACATTCCTCATGTCCTGCCTATCCCAAAAAAATCTCATCTCTTGCATCTCCCCCTCACCTGTCTTAGCACTAACACTTTCTCTGCCTACCCTCTGACTCCACGGGCCCTGCCCACAGCAAACAAAGCTCCTGCCATGCCTGCTGATCTGGCTCTGGTCCAGCTCAAGGCTCAGCTTTGGGCAGCAGCTCTTCTCCTTTTGTTCTGCTAAAGGCAGCAGCAACCTCCCCACACCCTTGGCCTAACCCTCTTCTACCTCAAGCCACTACATTCCAGATCAACAGGCATCACTTCTTTAAAAATTTATGTAACACCCGTAGGATAATTACTTCTTCCATCTATAATCCAGGGTCACAGGGCCTTGACCGGGGCAGGGCAGGCTCCATCAAGAAGGCTTCCTCTGGCATTGAGCAGCCACTGGCTCAAAATACATGGAACACTCTCTGTGACTGCCAAGAGGGGACTGGGAAGGGTGGGAGAATGTGATGGAAAGAAATGTGCATACGAGTGGATCTTTGAGATTTCCAGTGCTCCACCCAAGATACATTTTGTGTCCTGTCGTCCATCCCTAACTCCAAATATGAAAACTGCTATTTTAAGCCAGCTGTCTCTGATATTAAGCCCCTGCCTCACCAGCATCATAAAGAAGAGTGCATAGAACTCACACCAAGACTGGCCTATTTTCAGCACCTCCACTGGGTTAAAGCTAACCTGGCTGTACAAACACTTTGCTGTGGTTAAAGCCCTGAATGCACTGTGGACAAACCCTCCAGCAGCCATAGCCACACAGGCCTGGGACCTGGTTCTAGTGGAATCTTCATAGTTCCAAGCAGCAGCCATTAAACAGTAACAAAGCGCAGGCCTGCACAAAGCTCTCCAGAAGTTTTGGGACCCTGGGCTCATGGAGGAGAAATTTAGGGCATGGGCAATGTACTGATTGCTGTGCCCTGAACACAGGCAGGTCTCACCAAGGACAGACTGAGGCAGCAAGTACAGATTAGCCAGTTAGGATTCCAAAAACAATATCAAATCTTACTAAGTTCTGCTGCTTCCATGGGTGATGCCTACACCAAACAAAAACCAGTAACCAAAAGGTTGTCAATTAAAACAGAAGAACTTACAAATAGGAAGTTCATAATCTGAACTAAACTTTTTTGTTTGTTTTAGGAACAGGAAACAATTTTATGGCAAAAGTTTAAAAAGAAGTTGAAATAATCATTTTGCTCTCAAAAATCTTTTACTATTTTCTGACAAAGCAGTTGTTTTTAGCATGTCAAAATTATGAGTTTTCAAAGCTCCTTGTATCTTTAAAGAAACATTATTTCTAGGCCATAAAGGATGTGCTAATGACACGCAGAGAGATGCTGGACCTCTGACCTACTGTCCTATGACCCAGGCACTGGCCAGGCTTCTATCTTTGTGAGCTGATCCACACAATATATTAAATACTCTTTCTGCCAGTTTAATTATAACCTTAGTGAATGAACATTTCTCACGAACTATTGTCTATTCTCCACAGCCTGGAAGCCTGATAGTTAGATTGATACATAAGTAGAAGTCATTATCATATTTTCTGCAGCCTATGTTACAAAGTTTATTTTTTCATTATCTGATTTAATTTAAAAAATGTAAAAAGCGGAAGGGCTGATCTAACTCTTTTGAGAGTCATCATCCGGTGCAAAGAGATGGAAGAGCTCAAACAGCTGTTGCAAAAATCCTGAAACACTTTATTGGTCTCAGAGTAGTAACTTCCATAGGACTCAAGAATGAACAGCAAAAGAAATTTGACTTGTTTTTGTTTTTATTTTGGTTCCTTTTAGCCCTAACAAATGCAAATTCATTAAAAATATTATTTTAAAAAAATTTAAATAAACTATTGCTATGAACACTCCCATTTCAAAGTATGCTGGTTCTATGCAGTTTGAATTGGTTCCCTGCTGTCCTCCTTGGATTTGCTCCAAGTCTGTTTATTTTATTTACTGTTTAAGCTATTTTGTTCTAACTGCTGGCCAATTTTTCTCTCTTCTCCCTCTTAAATTAATTGCTACATTTGGATGTTTACACACTAACTTTTCCAGGAAAAAAAGATGCACATACACCAAATAAAAGCAGAACAGAAGTAAGCTTTAATCCCCTAAGTCTATAGAAAAGCTGCTGATTCTGCAACAGAGTTACAGAGCATAGCTTTGTGGCAAGGAAACTATGAATATTTCTGCACCACCATAACTGGAAAGACCTAAACCTGAAAAACCGAACTTGACGTTAAATCAATTCTTAAATCAAAAAATTAAATATTAGGTTGAATGCACCTACAGTCCTTGTGTAGTAGTACTTTGAATTGTTTTCAATTCCTTTAACACCTGCTTATATCTAGAGATGACCATGAGCTAGTTGGTGCCTAGGGCATGTGGAAAACAAATGGTAGGAAGTTGTTTCTTTATTTCTTTGGTGAAGAATTGAATGATCTTTAAAAAAACCCCACAACCAACTGAAAACTACCACGAAAACAAGTGATAAAGCGATATAAGAAAAAACAAGTGAAACACGAAAAACAGCATTCCCTCTTCACATCCTCAATTTCAGAATGAAATTATAATTTTATCATTTATAAATGGCAAAGTTGTGAAAAACAGTTCCCTCTGAAAATCTTTTACTGATCCTGTAACTTATTTAAATTTTCCCTGTCAATCAAATTCTGTTTGCCAATGTCCTTTCTTCAAAAAGATATTCTCACACACTCATTCTTCAAACTATTCCAGGCCCTTTGAGCTCCCATCAGTGAGCCTGTCCTGGGGCTCCCCAACTCCTTCCATTACCATACCCAAGTTTTCCCTCACTTCTCCTCTTACTTTATCACCCAGCCAAAAAACTCAAAGTCATGGCTCAAAGATCTAAGGTCAGGCTGGAAAGAGCCATCTGGGAGAGTTAATTCCTTTTTCTACCCCTTCTGTTTCATTTGGATATAAGCAAATACCATTCTCCTCCCTATGTAATGTTCATGTTCCAAAATCAATATTACACAGGTCACAAATATGAATTGGTTTCATTGATCTTCAACTACAGCTCTAATAAGATTTCTGTTCTTCCATTTAAAATAAGCCACTAGGATATTTCCTTACGCCTGTTTTCAAAGAAAAACTTTCTCCTCATGTCTGCTGTACTTACCAATCACTGCATGTCACAGAATGTGACCAATGTTCACTTTTTAAACAGTTGCTACATTTCATTGCTTCTATCCAACAGCTGCAGGATTAAAACCCCAGGAAAACATGGGACACTGAATGCTACAGAATTAGCACCTCAAAAAACATACAAACTCTGAACCTCTGCCTCCTCCTTCTATTGTCATTTTTGCTAGACAAAGAACAGAAAAATGAAATATGATCTCAAAAACTGACAAATCCAGTCGCACCTACAATCCTCAGTATCATTTTAATTTGCCTAAAATCATCAGTATCATCTTAAAACTATACTCTGCAACTCTCTTTAGGATGGGTTACTATAACTTGAATGCTGTGACACTACCAGCAGAAGGTAACCAATACTTCCTAATGAATAACTGCTCCTGAAATCATCCAAAAACTTGCATAGCTCACTCACTAACAGAGGCTGAGAAAAATAACACCTTCTCTGCTTCATGAGAAGACCTCATAGGACTACAAAGCACTGGTGTTTGCCTGATCACCAGTTTCACAGACACCTGCAGAGGACTGTAAGGGGCCCACAAGTTCTGACAGAAGCTCCCTTTGAAGTTTAAGGGTGTCTTAACAGCAAAGGCTCTGCTCAGAAGCTGGAGGTGACACACTACTGCTTCCTGTTAGCTGCATTACTAGTTAGCACACTTGTTTCCTGGTATGAACCTGAACAAAACAACACTCTCCCATTCAAATTTGCTTCTGTACTCAGTGAAATCTGAGGTCTTCAAAGCATTACAATCACCCACCCAACCAAGACCACCAGTATCAGCCAAGACCTGTTTGTCTTGGGTTAGGAGCTACACAAAGAGACCAAAAATCTGGCTGCTGAAGAGCCTGCAATCCAGAAAGTGGCTCCACAGAGACTGCATAGGATAAATCTGCTTTTTTTTTTTTTCATTGTTTTGTTACTCAAATGAGACAAACTGCAAGTTTCATTAACCTAGCAGCCTGCAACAGAAAGAACAACTAGCTAGCAGTATTTCTAATAAGGCATGTACCCAGTTCTTTTAGATCTCCAAAACTAAGGTGACATTACCTAGGTATAACACAGTTGGCAAAAACATTATCAGTAGGGAACTGTGCCTGTTACATAAACTATGGGCTTAAATGGTTCAAACAAGTTTATGGTTCTAATAATAGTATTTCGTAATTAATGAAGATAATCAGCCTCCTAGCTACCTTACTGAGTTCATCTCAGGTTATTCTCCTCTATGGCAGCATCCTCTAGATCTAAGTGTTACTGAGGAAAATATTTTTGGCTAAAGAAATCTAGCTGGGAGATAAACATCTGGCAAGTTAAATCTAGAGAAATATTGTAAAATCTTGCAACTACTAACACTTGAAATGCAAAAACATGACAGTCTCATCAAGTGAATACCAAATAATACAAACCTTCATCTATCCAAGGACAGCTTTTCATAGCTCAGTAATAAGAGCAAAATTGAAATCTAAGGAAAACTTTTATGCAGACCAATTTTTGTAACTATGGTGATGGAAGGCTACAGAAAACTCTAAAACAGGTCAAAAATAAGACACAGTATTAGGAGCATGACTCACAGTTTTATCTATGGACCTTTCTAGAAAGGAATAACCCCTGCATTCCTAGCATTAAAGGTGAGTTAACAACACAGCATAGTGGGAAGTGCTGGTCTGGTGGTCAGATGAGCAAATCAGGGAGCTGACAGCTTGGCTCTGCTCAGCCAGTTCTCTCTAATCAAGGCCATCTGCTCAGATTGTGAAGACACTCCTGGTGACTTTAAGCCACAGCATGAACAACCTCTGTAGTCACATGTGTGAAATACAGCAACTGTCAGAATTTCATGAGTCATTGCTAAACTCTTTCTTTATTCCATACATAATAAGTTTGAAATAGATTTTTACAATCCTTTCCTCAATGCTTGCAAGTATGCCCATTCACTTATTGTGGCACTCCAGGGAAAAAACTAGCAATCCCCAGTGTTTTATAATTCACATAAATACACACTATATGATGGAATGATACATAAAGATTAGGGTAGAATAAAGTTTGAGATGTAGTAAATTATTTCTTCAAACCTAATAAAAACTAAAACCCACATGCAGTACTAATACACAGAGGTATTTACGTGCGTAACTGCAGTTTTCTCATTGCTAAAAAAAGGCTCAAATACAGGGTTTGCAAGACCAGATAAAGAGTCAAAAAGAAGGAAAAACGCTAAGTTCCTCAATTCAGTGCTTTTTTTTTACCTGCAGGTGTGCAAAAAACTTGCTGTGATATGAACTGAATAAATTTTCTGTTATCCCACTAAGTGTTAGATGCTAGAAATAGTTTGAAGATCGCATTCTGAATGAATCTTTTGTAAAGCAATGATTTCCAGCAACAATGCAGGCAAAAAGTTTGAAACTGCTTTGAATGCAAGGATTTAGTGTTATGATGTCACATTAAATAAAAAGGTTACTGTGTTCTTTCAAGGAAGTTTGTTTACTCCAGAGATAGAGGCAGACTCTTAAGAGCTAAAAAACCAAGCTGTAGCACAGTGGCCACTGTGGCATATCATGTCCTGAGAAATGGGTAAGCATTTTTGTATTTTAAGTAATGTATTACTTTTCAAACTCTCCTTCTGGCACTTTCTCAAGAGATGAAAGGAAAGTGATAGCTACAGTCTAAGGATAAATCACAATGCAGCCTCTAGATCTCAAAGTGAGCTTCTACCCACTGGACTGATATGCCAAGAATCCACCACATCCAGTATGCCTCTGTCTGACAGGATGTTGATAGAAAAAGAATGTTGGGAAAAAAAGGAATTACTGTAATTTAATGGTTACCGTAATCCTTCAGTGGCTTTCTACATTTTACAAGACTGTGTGTCCCACATCAGTCTTTTCTTCTGTTGACTAAACAAACATGATTCCTCTCAGCCTCTGCAAATCAGTTATGATTTCTAAATTCCTATTTTTCTTCCTATCTTCCTCTAGTTTATTTTAATTTAATCTCTAACTTTTTTCCTGTTCTCCTGTGGTTTGTTTGCATTTGCCTTTGTTTAGTGATTATAATTAAGCAGAAATAGGAATTCAATGACACAGAGCTTCAAAGAAAGGGTAGTTCGATAGCTATCACGTTTTTTGCAGAGCAAATTCATCAAGGAGAGGTGCCTGAAATTTAATCAGACAATACTGTCTTCAGATAAAAATATCTGGGACTGTTACAAAGTTGTACTTTGTCAATTTTCTCAATGTTATGTATGACGTAAGATTAAAATCTGTCACCTTTTCAAAATCACAGCCAAAGGATAATTAAATTTTAGTGCTTTAACTGTGAATTCTCTGGCCTCAGCACACATGAAAGTCCTTTCAGCTGAATTTTAAATCTGAACTTTCAGAATGACATGAACCATAATCAGCATTACTCAGATCCCTCTGATACCATCAAGGCTCAATTTACAAGGCATATGAGCTGCCAACTTGACCCTCTCTGTTGTATATAACAACCTTAAAACTAAATATAATAATAACTTTACCTTATTACAAACTAAATTATCTAAGTAGATAAAAAATATATTAAAATGGAATTTTAACTAATAAAGAAACTATGTAATTATTAAATTAAAAGCAGAACAAAACTGACCAATGCAAAGATTTTAGTTGAAAATACCTTTAAGATCAAATCAATGACCAAATTTTCAATCACCTAGAATTATTTTATCTTGTAGTCCTTTAAATTTGAGGATTGCATGAGAAACACATGAAAAGCCAAATGGAAGCCTGAAATATTTTACTTGATTGTCCACAAATTTAAAAAACCCCTGGATAATACAGTCCACACCTGTTAAATTTCAGTGTAAATGTCACTGCATTTCACTGACAGACCAATTCTCACAAGGAGGGAGGGTATTGGTTGGTAATGCTGAAGCCCTGCTGGCTTCTTTAAGGGTGAAAAGACAGGGAGTCAGTTAAGTGCTGTGCTTGCTAACCCATGCATGGGGGTTACAAACCTGCGGGCTGAGCACCACTTACCGAAGATTCACTGTCTCTAACAAGGAAATCTCCTTCAACTCCCCTTTCGTTCAGGGCACATTCTGCTTGGTGCCGGGTAACGTTCCCGTAATACCACTCTCTTCCAGCAAATCGTCCAGTAGAAGATGGTCCTGTGTAGCTTATCTGAGGTGGATGGGAAGTGTTCATGGAAGGACCATCACTAATGATTACTACATAGTTTTTAGGAACAAGACCGATCTGACCTCTGGAATTTTTACATTTCCACCATTCTGGGTCATTTTCCGGCTTTTCAATGACTTCCATCGTTTCTCCTTTTTCAAAATTGAGCTCTTCATCCGTGACCGAGCTGAATGGGTACAGTGTCTGAACGATGTGGAGTACTTTGGTGCCCTGGCCGTTACTCATGGAAGCGCCTTTCCTAAGGCTGAGGAAGCTGGGTGAATCTGCAGTTGCCTCCTCAACCTCCTCTACCACATAGTTCGAAGGGAACCAGCCGATCTGTCCATTGTAGCTCCCTCTCCACCAGCCGTCGCTGCACTTCTCCATGACAATCACTCGGGACCCTTTAACGAGGGACAGCTCATCCTCCCTCTCGGCAACGTAGGCAAATTTCACATAGGCAGGAATGTTAAGATCGTAGATCCGGTCGGCGCTGCTGCCGTTGGAAGGGTACTCTGCGTCTGTGCTGGGAGTGGGAGAGGCGTCTCTCGCACTCGTCTTTCTCTTGGTTTTTCCCAAGCCTGTTAAAGACAGAAATGTAAAGTGGTCACTTGGAATGCTTGTCCCCAGACTGCAAAAGCTGGATGTGGTGACATGCTGTACCGTCACTTCAACAACACTGCTAAATGGAGATCTCTTCTGTAACACTACATCGTCAGGAAATAGCAACACCTTTAAGAGATTCTTGTTAACATCCAGCTGATGCACCATTAGGTAAAGAGCAATTTGTGTTATAGTGATTTCTATTCTCTTCTCGGAAGGAGCAGAGTTTAAGCACACTTAAACACAGTGATTTCTTCACTGGGAGAACAGCTAATCACTGAAACTGATTCTCAGCTTCCTCTTCTCTATCTTCAAATTCCAGCCAAATGACCATGCCTTTTAATATTGGAGATGACTTCAATTTGGCTCAAACAAAAAGTGAAAGAAAACCTACAAAAATTAATGAGCACAGAAATAACAGCTAAAGTTTCTCTGCCGTCTGTATTGCTCTCTTTGCTCTGGCAATACCCAGGCAGGCACTGCTGCAATTCCTTCCAACTGCAACCCCCCTTCCAAAACCCACACCTCTTTCACCTACATTTCATCACACACTGTAACAACAGAAAATCTGCTGGTGAGGAAGACCATTTGCATGTATTTCTCTATAATCTATAAATTCTGGTGTCCTGTCATGGCTTTAATTATAGTGTTAAATACAATGTCCAGAAGAAACAACAATAACATTGAATGTATTATTTTTTTTTAAATTAGAGAAACCATACTAATGTCTGTTTAAAAAACAGAAAAACTGCACAACACACTTGGTACACTTGGTGTACTTTTCAAACTTTTGCAGCAACCCCTCCTTAAGCTTATATATAAACAAAATAATAAAGTGAACAAGTAGCCCTGTCTTGTGAAATTCACTTACAGAAATTTCTGAGAAACATAAGATTATGTCCCAGTATAGCACAACCAAGCAAAATGTCATGCAAGGGACAGAAAGCAAAACCTTCACAGAAATAGAAGCATTTGTACTTTTCTCCATACTCATAGAGCCTGGGCGGCAGGTGAGAGCTTTAGTTGAGACACATGCTGATTATAGAATACTTAATGGAAGGAAAATAAATAAAGGTACTTTGTTTCTTCAAATAATCTGAAATAAGGACATGCATGCTATTTCGTTTTTAACTATTCAAGCCTATTCAATCCAGCCACTCCACTGCCAAAAATTGTGTTTTAATATATTTAGATATATATATATGTACATGCATATACAATGGGCATCTTCAGCAAAGCTGTTTGTTCACCACAAAACTTCATGCTTATTTCACAGTTAATCTGTACAGCACAGACTAACAGTGCACAGATAACCATGCAGGGATCGTTGTCTAGAAGGGTTAAAAATACATTAGTTAATATGTGGTCTTATGGTCTCAGAAGATGGCAGAAAATTCTGATGATCCTAAAGTGTTTCCTGACCTTCCCCAGCAGGGCCTTGTTTCCTGCTGTAGCCTGCTACATCCTATTGTCATTCTAACTACATCACTCCAGCCAAGAGCCAGTGGCTGCACTTTCAGGCAAAATGAGGGAGGCAGCTTATTGTACTAGGGGAGACAATCACAGGAAAAGAGTGTACAAGCAAGTACTAATCAGAAGCTGGTCAGGCTCTGATCTCTGCCAAGACTGGAAATTTTCATCAGTTTAGAGATCATTTTTAACCAAAAAGACAAGGATGTTTCAGAACTAATGAGCATTAAATTACAGTGATATAAACAAACACAACTTAAAGGTTGTTCTGTTAAGAAAAGGGGGAAATTACTTTTATAAATTCATGGAAAACAAGCAGCTTTATTTCAATAGATTCACTCTACATAAAGCCCTCCACTGAGACTAAACCTTCCAGATTAAAAACCTAGGCTTTTATCAGCTCACTAATGAAGATATACAGTCCATTTCTTGGAATTACAGCAAAAGAACTAAGGAAAAAAGCAGTAGATGGTGAGGCAGCTGGCCTACCTAGTTGAAACGCAGAGCACAGAGATAACTGTGAGAAAAGGGGATGGAGAGTGGCAGAAAAACGACATAAACTTAAGCAACTAGAGAAAAAACTGTTTACAAATAGGTAAAAATCCAAAATCTCTCAAAAACCCTTCTGAAATCTGATAAAGGTATCTAAACATTTAGGAAAAAGTTATCATTCAAGCACCATCCTTCATTTGGATTTGCATAGGTTCCCTCTTTTTTCACAGACCTTCCAATAGTGCATCTGACATTTCAAATATTGTTTCCTATCATGACCATTAAACATAAATCATTACAAATTTGGGAAAATAATTTAAATAATTTAAAAAAAGAAGCATAGTAAAGTTTCTAATTTTTATCAATAAAGATAACTGGAGTTCTTCGGTTTAAGCTTAACACTTTACGTGAACAAACTTTTTAAGGCTGACAGCATGGTATTAACATTTTGCAATAGCAGCAATGTGCACCAAAGGCTTTCCAGTTGGTTTGACCAAAGGAACAAACTATGCAGAGACTCATCTGTAGTCAGGCACAGCAAAGGGCATGCACATTATCTAAGAATAATTTTTAATGTGAGATTGCAAAATTCATAACTGTGTCCATGACTAAAGAGGAAACAAGTTGTTCCATGAGCAGAACATGGAAATCTGTTCCTGTTTTTCACTTTATACCTTCTGCTGAGCTATTCCTCCTCTTCCTCCCCCTCCTCCTGCAGGATTCATAGTAAGTCCCCCTACTGTATGACTGCTTTCACATCCCCAGGTCCTTCTCATATCTCTGGGTCCCCACTGCCACCTCCAAAATGCCCTCAAAGCATACTCCATCTCCCCTGGTGCTGCCCTCCTCCCTACCTTTGTTGGGCTGGCCAGCCAAGCACAGTGCCTGGTGCCCCCCTGCCTCTCAGCCCTGCCTGGACTGAGCAAAGAGCTGGGGTTGCTCTGGCTTCTCCTCCAGTGAGGGACATCAGCAATGACTCTCCCAGGCACAGACTTGGAGAAAACTAGATAGTTTATCTCTGCCAGTCTGTCAAGTTTGCCTAAAATTGGCTGAGTTATCAAGGATGGACAGATGGACGGACTATGACAGCTGACTGTGACAGCATGACTAGTGTAAGCTTCATTTCCTTAGGAAAGTCTAAAAATACAGTTTAGTGGGATGGCTCATTACAGCTAAGCAAGAATAAAGTCAGGTCAGTTATAAACTTTGTATATGCATCTCTAACAAAAACCACAACTCCATTAAAAAAAGAAAAGTACTATCTACATAAGTCATCTATTGAAGAGTAAACACTACCATTCTACTAACAGAATCCCTTAGAAATAGTAGGGGATTCTGTTAGTAGAATGGTAGTGTTTACTCCTTATTCTTATGTCTGAATGGAATGAAACACATTTAAAGGATTTCATGGAAAACAAAACATTGAAGCACTTTGGGAATCACATGTAGAAACGTTGAAGATACTTGCAATTGCAGTCATAGTTTTGGTGTGTTTTATTGTCTTTGTTCTAATGAAAACCTATCTACTGATCTATCTACCTATCTGCTACACCTGTGCTTTTCCTATTCTGACTCAGTGGGTACAGTTCATCTGTAACCTGTGGAAGCCACAATGCTTTGTAACACAAACAGTTGTCATAAGGAGTAGAGTAATCTAAAGCAAGAGGTTAGCTTTCAAGTGAAAGGAAAAGTGGGGAAGGAAAAGAAGCATTGCAAAGCAGCAGAAAGCCTGTTTTGCTACTGCAATTTGTAGGAAGCAACACTATTCACAATCTACAATAATCCACAGTAAATTACTTCACTTTCACTCTAATAAATAAATTTCCAAGTGATGTGAGCTGGTATAATTTTTAGGATATACTACTGAGACAAAAAAAGAGAATCAACTTGTTAGCAATATTTCTGGAGAAGGGACCCACTGCAAATCCTCCTTCTCTCTGCAGTGAAAGAAATCCTCTGGCCCCATGGTTAATCCTAGGGAAACTCAGAAACGTGCCTGTTGCATCAGTACATGCTGTCTTCCTTTCCTAGCTCAGCTGTGGCCCTAAAGAATAACTTGTTTTTTGAGTAGCAGGCTGAAGACCAGTTTCCTATGAATTTGCTTCCTGTCACTTAAGCTGCCATTGTGCAAGCACCCCTTCATTACCAGCTTGTCCCTGAGACAGTCTTTCCATTGTATAAGGTCCTCGAGCCTGCACCTCCAATTCCCTCTCCCCACAGCATTTCCAGCCTTCCTACCTCATCCTCCTTAGACTTCCCTAGGAAATGTCTTGAGCTCCCCCAAGCCCCATAGCACAAAGTGGTGGAATTTGCCTGTGGTCCATCTCCTCTGGCCTGATGCTGGGCAGTGCCAGTTCCCCTACCCCTACGTGTGTCTCCTGCCATGCTGGCCACACTCCTGGGCCAAAGCTTGGCTGCCTGTCAGCACAGATGCCCCAGCTGCCCAGGTGCTCCTGCTAAAAACAAAAGGGTTTCTCTCTCCATCTGCCTTCAGTGATGGCACTGAAACAAGGCTGCAGAGCTACAACCTCTCAGAAAATTGGTTCATAGGATAAACAAGTTTAATTATATTTAAAACATGATCTAAAATCATATCTTATCAAACACATACATAATACTTGCACAGAAAGGGATTCTTGCCACTAGTATAGGTTTGTATTCCATTTGCTAATCATGATTTAATATTCCACACTACCTTTACTAGGAAAAGCCTATTTACAAAATAGACAACTTCCTAATTTTACAAAGATTTATTTGACAAGTCTTTCCACGTTCCTGCAAGCTGGTATCCTTGTCTGAGACTGATGAACGACCACATATTGTATTTTAACTGCATTTGATCTTCCCCAGAGATGAAAGAACATCTCCACAGGCTTATCCATACTCAGGGTTATTAACTTGTGCTTAAGAATAACATGAACCAAACATTAAAGGTATTTGCAGTCAAATTCTCTAGGATCCCCTTCCCATGACTGCCCAATAAAGTTGTAAAATCTTGTATGTAGCTTAACTTTAG